GCTACCACCCTTGCTTTGGTAGAGCCCTGCAGGGATATGCCTACAGTCCATGCTACAAAAGGGAATAACATCACCGTTTCCATCAAATTTGTGCTCCTTTCCTCACTGTGTGTCATGGTTTTCTCTGCCAACATCTTTATTGATCAAGGCATAAATGAAGGTAGGGAGCTGAAATTTGCTGTCTTCTCAGCACTGAGAGGGTTGCTGGCTCTGCAACCTCTAAAAAGAAGGAAAAACATGAAATTGCTTTGCTCCCCTTCTGCAGAGAAGTCATTAACCTCAGTAACAGGGAAGGGGGTAGATTTTTAAACCCCATGCTTGGGGAAGTAAGACAAGCAACTGCTCTTAATGTTAGCATTGATATGTCTGAGTAAGTTAGTCCCTTTCTGAAAACATAACATAATGAGCAAAGGTTCTGACTGTGAAGCTTTTGCCCAAGTGAGTGGAGAAAAGGCTTACAAACGAAAGGCCTGTTTATGATAAAGGAATATCTACATGTTTTCATTTATCAATGTGAGTTTCAAGGAATATATATATATGTATATATATATATATATATATATATATGTAATATTCAGTGTGAAAAATAAAAGGCTCTTCTCAAATGTTTTGGTATTGTGCCTTAAAAAATGACACTTTCCACTGCCAGTCATGACTTTAAGTCAGATTATGGCTAAAAATATTAAGGGAAGGATCACCACAGCAACAATCACATTGCTCCCCTTCTGCAGAGGAAATGGAAAAACACTCAAACTTTGCCAAACTGAATAAATTACCCAGATTATCAGAACTGTAAGGAAAGCATATGTAAGCAACTCTGTGTGTTTTTGTGTCTGGGAGTGTGTGCAAATGTGTTAACTGGGTTGCAACTCATTAAATACTTAAGTCAAAGAGGGCAACTCTGAAAATATTCTCAAGAGACAAAAAAATAGTGTGGTTGTACCTTAACTGGCCAGCAGATACTATGTGAAGGGTAGTGCTCACTGCAACACTGGGCTGGGCTGGTGGCCTGGAGATGGGATGGAGCACATTGCACCAACATGAAGCTGAGAAAGGGCTGCTCTGCTCAGACAGAGGCACCCTTACTCCAGTCTCATAGCTGTTTGTGCTTATTTGGCATAGTTTGCTCTGCCAAAGTAAAATATGTCATTAGCCAAGGGGGGAAGAACAGGGTGGAAGGGTGAGGGGGCAGGAGCAATATTGCCACTGTTTGAATTGAAGCACATTATGCAGGAGTCTGCACTGGAAACCTCCTCTTACCAGGCTGCCCACACTGTCAGCGAAGATAGGGCGGCTTTTTTAGAGGCAGTCCAAGGACATGACTTAGAACAGTTGAAAATATGTCAAGTGCTTTAGTGAATTCCTAATGCATTAAAGACTCTAAAACCATCTTATGGAAGCCCAGAGCACGTGGCTTTTGAGCACTGGAAGAAAAGGCACAGAGTGCAAAGGCTGTGTGTCCCCATTCTCTTGCCGTTAGTATGAACACTTGTTTAGCTGTTTGTAGGTCCAGAATTAAACCCTGGATTTCTGTCTGTCCAGGGAGCAGCTATCACTTTCTTGCTTGGATTTCTAGCTCAAAAGGATCCTCAGTTATTTTTGGGATCACATATTTTAAATAAATGGTGCTTGACTGGTCTGTGTCTTTAGCCTTTTCTACCTTCCAGATTCACCAATGTTTTGCAAAGGAGGTGTGTGCTCCTGCTGAACAAATTTAAACCTACTGATAACAGACTTACTTTTTTTTTACTCTTTTTTTTTTTTTTTTAATGTAGGCCAGTGCAGCTTGGGCTGGGCCAGATGATCTAAGTGATGTCAGTGATATCCTGGCCCCATTCCAGGTATCTACTGAATGATGGGTTTAGGATGGTTGTATCTATAGTCTGTTAATGCAGACTGAATTCCAGTAATGACCCGTACCTGATGGTAACACGGTGGGAAAAGGTTACAATGGCTGCTGTCAGAAGCATATGGGGGCCTCTCCTGATGTGCAAGACATTCTCTTCAGGGCCCTCATGTGCTAATGCCAGAGTGGCACATGAGCAAGCAGGAGGTTTCAGTTTGATCAGGCTGGCTGAAAACTCCTGCTATTACCACCTCCAGCTTGTAAAGAGCAGTTTATGGTGAATTTGGTTGCTCTGCAGTATTCTGGTTTTTTGTTTTTTTGAAGTAAAAATTTTAAAATTTTCTTGCCATCTCATTTGAAGAGCCCTATGGGCCCTTGCTCTCTTTTCTGTCTTTTGATGGTTGCCACCTTGCTGTGCCCACTGTGGCTCCAAGGCTGGCAGCCTGCTTAACCACAGGGCCTTGCCACATGGCATGGGTTTTGTGCTGGTTGGTGGTGACACTCAGCCATTGCAGTGGGGAAAAGCGAACAGCAGCAGCTGGCATTAATGAATCCTACATCACCCAGGACCAAGGGCAGGAATCCCCAAGCTCAGAGGGTTTTCATGGAGGTCTGGTGCAATCTTGATAGATGAGTGAGTAGAGGAGATGAAAGCACATCTGGATGGGCTAAGGGATGCATAAGCACTGGAATTCTAATACTTAATTTAATGCTTGTGCATTAGTTGGTTTGTTTTGGTTTGTTGGTGGGTTTTTTCCCCCCATCTCTTTTTAAGATTTGCTTGTTTTTCTGTAAATGAAAAAGCAAAGATGAGTGGTACATATGGTTAGATGTATGTCAGCTATGATTCCGTTGCTGTGTGTGGAACCTTTAAAAATAAAGTGTTCCCCAGGCTGTAGTCTACAAGTGAATGCCATGCATTAATGCAAGATAGCCCTTATAGTGTGTTACACTCTTGTTTGTTTCCCCTGTAGATGTTATTTTGCTCCTTGCTAGTTTGATTTAATTTGAAACAAAAACTATTCTGGTTGTAGGGAATTTTGATCTAGGCATTCAGGAAATGAAACAGGATTAGATCTACAGAAAAAAACAAACAAACAAACAAAAAAACCTGCAAAAATCCTACCAGAACAACATGTTGCTTCCCACACCATTCTGTCATAGTCAGGTCTGATCAGGATGTCTACTCTATACCACCCTGACCTGCCTTTTAGGAGGACAGATTCTGAACTGGATGATAATGAACACAGATTTTCTTTCCCCTTCAAAATTACTGTCTCCAAACTGAGGTCTGTATGTTATAACCAACACTCCAGTATAGAAGACCGAAGTGATTCCCATCTGCAAAACTCATATCTGAGTTCCTGATAATGAGATAATATTTGAGAAGCCACCAATTTCTTCCATCCAGATTTATGGGATGAAAGCCTCAAATATGAAGGATTTATCTAAAGCAGCTTTGGGTTTTGCCTGCATTATAGTTTGGGAATAACAGACTCGGTAGCTTCTAAGCTGAACTTGGCCTCATGGAGTGCCTTTCTGGGGACTAGTTTATTCTGTTTGTTGTACCTTCCTGTCAGATGTGATGGGAAATCAGTGATGAGCAGGAGGTCCCTAATCTCCATGGATACTTGTCTCTGCATGGTGTCAAAATCTGAGTTGGCTGTTAATTTTCTCATATTTTGCATATGACTAATTTAGTTAGGAAGGGAGGGAAAGGAAGGAGGTTATTTGAGATTGAAGTAAAAAATGAGAGAAAGAAAATTTGGCAGTGGTTCTCAACTGTAGCTGCTGGGAGGCCTCCAGAAGCCTGTCCCATCCCTGCATACCCCCAAGCTTGTTGTCAGCTCTCACACTTTTTTCTGTGCTCAGAGCAGGGTCTCAAAGGAACACAGCTGCTGCAGCTGCTTGTAGACCAAAAGGTGACCTTTTGAGTCATGAGGCATGATGCATTATTTAGTGCATTCCTGGCTAAAATGGAGATGAAATATTTTCGTTAGCAAAAATACTTGTTTGTCCTTTCACTTGGATGCATCCTTTTTGCATCACACAATAGTGTGGCGTGCACACCACTCCTTGAGGTTTCTTCTGGGCAAAGATTTTTGTAAGACTTTGAAAAAATACTTTTACTTGAAGGACCCTACTTGCCAAATGTAATAGACTTCAGTTTAGAGGTACCAAGTTTGCAAAAACCCAACTTCTATTTAAATAATGAGTGAAAGCTTCCTGGTGAGGTGTATGTCTTTAGACTATCAGCTGATACTGGTAAGTACCATAACCAGCTGTTACTTCAACAAGAACTGTTTTGCTTCTTCCAATTAATCAAGAGTCTCTTGGAAGTTGCCATAGCAGGGCATTCATTACAGGGATGTTTAATGAGTAGAATATTTGTCATTTGCATAGAGAGAAGCTTTAGCAGTGATTCCAGGGATCTGTGATAGCCAGGTACTTAGGCACTCTCTATCTATTGGGTGAAGGAGGGGAGACAGATGGGACCAATTTTTCACCATGTCTGACATTAAATTTCCTACAATGTCTTCCAAAGAGAGATTCAAAGAGGCTGGAACTTACCTCTCCCGCTGACTGTGAATGAAGACTGCAGTATATTCAGCTACAAGTCCATCTGCTCTTTAACTTTTCCTTTTTTTTAAATCTATCTGTGGTTTTTCTTTGAAGTTTCCAGCACCATTTATGAAGGCTCAAAAAGGGGTATTATTAATATATTTCAGATGAAGAAAGCTGAACTGTCAAAGTAACAACTGACTTGACAATAGCCAGTATTCTCCAAGGCATCAGCATTTAAGAGGACCTGGGAAAAGATCCTGTGCTTACCAGGAAATTTCACTGATCTCATCAAGTCCCAAAACTCAGGAAGGAGAAAAAAAATCTGAAAAAATGAAGAAGTGCCTAGCAGATCATGCTATCTTGTTGAAAACTGCAGTGGTAAAAATTATTCAAAAAATTACAGGTATCTGCTTCTGTGAGATTATTTTTAGCAGTAAAAGAGTAGATGGTGTAAGGTAAGTGAAGAAGGATTCCATAAATAACTGCATTTCAATTACCTGTTTGGCATAATCTTTATTGTTACAACAAACACCACAAAATGACAAAAAATGAACACCTATCTACTCAGAAGATAAACTGCTTTTAAAAAGAAAGGAATGAAACCTAGGTCTATCATTTTTTTGAATCCCAGTTAACTAAATGGACGTGACTGGAGAAGCAGAGACACCTGAGCAGCTTTGAAGACTTTTCTCTGGCGTATTCTCACTGACTCTGAAACCTTATTTCCAACCACAGTGTCTGCTCATCCTAGTGCAGCACTCTTCAAACCAACCTTCCGCAAAGGATTCAGCAGACATGGTCTGAGAAAAGAGCTAAACACAAGCTGGTAAGCACTCACTGCAGGGAGATCTAACTGCTGTGGGATTTAGTCAAACAGTAAAGTACAAGCTTCTACTATGACTCATTTGGTGTAAAACTAGTGCTAAGTATTGTACATAATTAAGACAGCATTATTACAGTGAGATGGCACTTCTTTTTCTGGTTCGGTTAAAGTCATAAAAAGGTGTAATGTTTTTAGCCTTCAGAGCTGTGAAGATGAGGAGTTCTGATAGGAGTTCATTCTAAAAGATATCATGGCTACAGTGAGTTTAGATCATAACTTGCGTTATTGCTGAAGCTTTACATGCATATTACTGTTGTCTTTGTGAAAAGCTATGGTATTTGTGAGAATAAACACGACCTGAGAGTCATGTTCATTAGATAACACCTGCAACACTGGCCTCTCTACACATTCCAAGAGTTTTCATAATTTTTAAACACACAAATCGACTATTTTATTCTGAGCCACATTTATTAAACAGGTCTTAATGATTTTTCAAGTAACAGGCACAAGAAGTTATATTTTCCATTGAATGCAACAGAAAATGTAGTGTCAATGAGCTAGAGATTTACCATTTGAGCACTGTGAGCAGGTACAGAAGTATTAGTAAGACATTGTCCCTACCAATGGGAGAAGTTGAACAAGTAGGTCATTCCAATTTGTTTCCTTGTCCCAACTTTTTCCTTCAGAGGTCCACAAATCAACTTTGCTTTTAGTGAATCCATGATCTTGGTAAAAATGTACTGTGGTAAAATGCAAAGAGATTCAGCTTATTGGTCATTCTAAAACCACTTGTTCAAGTTACTTGATTCTCATTATCCTTTACTAGGAATTCCTGTGGTGTTATGATATTCTTTCTGTTCATCAATTTATCTGTCTGACTTGCAAGGGAGAAGTGGGAAAGTAGACTGCAAGATGGTGACATGGACCATTTTAAGGGACAGGACTTAAAAAGAACCCATTTCCACCTGTATATTCCAATGGATGCCTTTGTAGTATGTTTATGCTCTTACTGGAAAATCTATTGGCTACTTCTTCAACCTAACTTTACCACCACTTTTATAGTTTCACAACATGCTTTTTATACTGTGTTTCATGCACATCTCTAAGGAATTATTTGTGTAAGTTACAGGAACTACAGAGCCTCAGGAGGAATCCCAGGCAAAAAATGCACTTGGGTGAAGACAGCTCAACAACAGCCAGTGAGCTCTTTCTTTTTGTATGACTTGAACAATCTATAATATTTTACAAGCCTGAAGTCCAAGGGTCTTTCTAAAAAAATGATCATTTAGTATAAAAGATAAATCAATTCCTGTTTTGTTTGCACTGTCGCTTTCCGGATGAATTTCCAATCTATTAGTGGAGCAGTAAATGCTCCCCCAGCAACCAACCACTGATGTTTTGAAAGCAAATCAAAAGCAGCATAAGACTGTTGAAGAAAAGGGCTTGAAAGGAAAAGAATGAAAGATCATACCATTCCTATGGCAGCTGCAAAAGTTTGTGAAGATTACAGCTGAGAGAGGGATGGGCCAGAGACCAGAAAGAGATCAAGGACAAGATACCTGCCTGCAGAGTTTTGTCCTAACATGCTTTCCTGCAGGCTCACAGCCTAAACAGCACAACTAAAACTCTGTAGGGTTGATCTGTTAGAGGCACACCACCAGAGGTGGAATTGTGTGAGGGGATGGATAAGCCTCAAAAGGGGAGAGCACCTGTTAAGCATGGTTTTTACCTTGGTCTTTGTTCAGCCCTGACAAGATTTATAGAGAGTCTGGACATGTAAGAGAAATACTGTGCATGCCTGTTCTTTGTAACATAGGGTTTTCACTTCAGCTGAGGAGCCAGGGACCTTGCTGTGGGTGCATGCTGGGGTTGCACTCCTGATGCACTCCCAGCTGCTCTGACTTTTATCTTTATTCCAATCATGAGCTCACTACAAGCCCAAAGGGAAAAGTATTTGCATTCCACTGTGCACACTGACAGTAATTTTGTGGATGCAGCACAACACTGTAGAAAGAGACAGGTATATGGAGCATTTAGAAGGCAATAATTTCTTCTAACTTTTTATTTATTTACTATTTTTAGCCACACTCCAAAGGTTTTAGTGGGAATAGCAAAGAAAAGAACTTGCAGACTTCACAAAAATCAAAGCCTGCAGCTTATGCTGGATGGGTGCATTTGGCACATATCTGTGATTATGAAATTAATTTTGAATTGCTTTGAACTTCATCGGGATAATAATTCATTCTTTCAATTTCCCTTTTCCCTCCAGAACATCCACCATTAACAAAACAACTAGTTGCAATGTTTTACAATCCACATTTGAACCCATTACTCAAAAGATTGCACATTTCCTTGAATAAACAATTACTCAGCTCATTTGCACAGAGATAAGGTCAGTCTCGGGACTGAAAAATGAATCAACACCCCTCTCTGGCAATCATCTTGGAAATGGTCAAAAAGCAATTGTGGTAGGAACATGTTAAACTGCAATTTCATGTTGCAGAAATGCAACATCAACAGGCAGCTTAAGTGTTTCTGTACAAACAGGTATTGTACAGCCTTGGTTTGGTTAAGTTGAGCCTATTACAGGGTTTAGGCACATGCCTGAAGATGCAATTACACGACTGAAGTTAAGATGTTCTTAAGTGTTTTGTTGTGTTTGGCCTACAGGCTACATCTGTGTTTGTATTAAGAAGAAAAGCTGTTCTACAAGACATTCAGGCATTTTAAAATGTATTTTTCTTCTGAACTGGTACAGGAAGTTTTATCTTTTACTGAAATTTAGGAGATCTTTAATTCCAGAAATCTTGTAATTGAGTGTACTTGAAACATTGTGTGTCAGTAATGTTGAAATTATTTGAGACATTAAGATTGAAATATTGCATGTCCACATATGTTACTTAGTTAATTAGAAGCAACTGTTAACTAAGCATGCCGGGATTGCCTGGGTTGTGTATTACCACCCCCTGGATACAGAAAAGAACTGTGGTCTGGTCTAGCTTCTTGGCTGAGATGCAATGTTCCAAGAACATAGTTCTCAGCTGAGCAAAAAACAAGGATATTCATCTGTGCACAAAATAGACCTGGACCTGCTAAACTCCGCTCAGTCCAACTGGATTTAGGTAGGCACATCTCAAGTGTCTTGTAGCAGGTCTTTGCTGCAAGTGCTTCAGAAATGCAGGGCACAGACCCTTCACTTTTGCTTGTAGGTGGTTTGGGTTTTCCTTGGCTTGTTGGTTCTGCCTTTGATGTATCCAAGATGATTCTATACTGTCTAGGAGACATGGTAGTTTGGGTGCAGCACCATCATTTTTATCTGATGCTATACATGATACTGAACCCCTCAGGAGCTGAGGGCTGCAGCTCTGCAGCAGTCAGCCAGGGTGCAGAACTAGGCTGCAGCTACTTAAAGTCAAGCTGGTTCTTTACAGGAACTTTAATGTTACCTTCAAGCCTGTTCGGCCATGGACATCCCAATATCTGAGGACTGCAGCCTGGCTTTAAACTTAAAAGCTAAAATTTGCAAATCAAAACTAAGCGTGTTTTGGCAACTTCTTACTAACTATATTCCCATAAGCAATTGTTATTTTTTTGAAAAAGTTTCAGTATTGTGGAATCAGCCTTCACTACAAGGAGACATGCACTGGGAAAAATTCAAGCAGCTCTGTGAGAATAAAGCAAGAATGATAGACAAAGTCTTACCAGACTGAATATATTGCTTGTTCTGCCTGTGTCTAGATATAATGGTTGTTCAAAAGTGAGAAGATACCTGCAAATAGTCTATGAATGGGAATCATAATCTGTTCCTCTCTGTTTCCCCTGCTCTTCAAGTTACAAACTCTTATCTTGGCCTCATTGCTTGACAGATCGAGTAGGGTTGACCCCCAAATCAAGGGCATATTTAGGTAGGCAGGCTTAAGAAGACTGAAACAATTGCTTTAGAGAGAAAACTTTCTGTGGCCAAGGCATATGTCGCCTGTGGTGAAATTTATTCAGACAAATGTTTCATCTAAAATGGCCTTTCCTGCTTAAGTCTCTAGGTATTTATGGCTTTGCTTGGATGTCCTGCCCTTTTCTTTTGGAGTTGAAATAAATATTGAGGTTCATAGTCTTTGTGTCCCTATCAACTTCTGGGTCAGCTGGCCAGCAGAGAGGTTGTCTAATCCCATTTTTGAGTGAAGTTCTTTCATCTTTTAAGGCCTTAACTCCAGCAAAACATAAATTTAGCTGGAGACTGTGGATATTGACCCTTATGACAGACCCCTCTGCCCTTGTTTGGCTCCTCTCTTACTCTTCCTGTAAGAAACTAGGGCAGTTTCTAGTATTCAACCAACAGAATTCTTTGGATTTGGATGTGAGTAAGAATAGGAGTGGGAAACTCTATTTTATGCTCATAATAGTCTTTTTTTCCCCTGCAGTTACTACATGGTATGGTTATATTTCTGTTTGAAGAAACAGAACAGCTTCACAAATGAGTATAAAAAGATGTATGTGTTTTCCTGAGCTTGTATGTACTTTACTGTAATCTGACACTTACTGTAAGAAATACATATTATATAATTGGCAATGGCAGACACATATTCTGATAGAAAAAAAAATGTATTGAATGATACACGGTGTATCACTGATAGTGACTTGCAGCAATATTTCCATAAAAGTAAAGTGTAATTTAGCACTTGAAAGTCAGGCCTCAAAACCAAAATAAAATGTTTTTCTGTTTCTGTACCTAGCCTCAGATATATCTCCCCTCACTGCAGACATCAGCAGTGTAGACACATATGGCAAAACCCATCACCCCAAGCTCCCTTTGCAGTCAATACAGGGAGCAGGCACTTTTAGGCCATGATTCATCTGACCTATTTACATGTCTGCTGTAGGAGGAGATGAATCACTGCCTAGACTAGATCTGTGCGGAGGATAAAGGGAGCCTAAGATGGCCAGCACAGATGTAGACGCTTCTAAAGATCTACAGTTTGAATTTAGGCTTTCAGTTTGGAATAACAATTTTCCAGAGAAGAGTAAAATTTCCTAAGCTGTGTTTTTTTAGCAGAATATGTGTATGAATATATACTATGGTATTTTTCTTCCTGCGAGAGAAACATTTGCAACAATATCTTTTGAACACTGGCCCTATATCACCTTCCAAATGTTCTGCCATCTGAAGAGCTGCCATTTTATCTCTCTGCCTCTGCCCCTCTTTCACACATGGAGACATGTGTACACATACCATATTTCAGAGCTGGGCCTTCTAAGTTTTCAGCATTAACTTAAAATGTATTCCTCTCTGTGTGTGTCTGCTGTTACACACAGATTAACTGGGTTTGTTTGTTTAAAAAATCCAAAGCAAAATATGCAAACAAAAACACCAAATTAAGATTTCTGAAATTTCCTTCTGTTTAAAAATAATATTTTTATTAGTTTGGTTTTTTACTTCTAGGATCTGCTCTTCTCTGCCTGCAGCCTTGGTGAGGCATCATAGGAAGAGGAACATGAATTCCTGGGAGACAACTATTGATGCAGAGGAAGGGGAAAGACAGGACTTGATCATCTAAGAAAGAGTGCAGGCTCCTAAGTAAAGCTGTGAGATGACAAGAGTTGTGTTATTGTGTATTATTATGTGTAGAAGGCTAGAGTTGAGAGTCTGGTTTCTTGAGGGTGATGCCCTGGCAGGTACTTTTGTGCACATGCTGTAGTATAATCCAGTGCATCTGTACATCCATCTATGCTGCAAATGGCACGGGAGTGATATTTTTTAAAAAAGAAGAATAAATGAAACCATCCTGTTGGAGGGCTTTACAATGCTCAGCTGCTCCTGAGGAGTGCTTGGTGTAGCTACAAGCAGGCAAAACATCCCTCCCATCTAGTCACTGGCACACAACACAGCAACCCGTTTATGTGAGCACCTGGTTGATCAGTTTGCCTGTGACAGATTTTGGCACACCCTCTCCTCTGGCTGTAAAGCTTTACTGACTTGTGTGTTTTTTCTCCCACAAACTCTTGTCTGGCATGGGAGGACTTGGAACAGAGCAACTGTGGCTCTGGCAACAACAGGAAAGTACATTTTAGATAACCCTTTATGGTGCGAGCTTTGCAGCCATTTAAGAGCTTTTCTGTGTGGTTGGAGAAGAAGGGCTGTCCATCATCCAAAGTCTACTGCTATGGGAAGGGTGCAAGTGACTGCAAAGGTCTTTGGCAAAGGCCACAAGCATCTGAAGGCTGCTCTGAGAAATGGATATGGGCTCACAGTTCCCCACAGGGTGCTGTGCAGAAGTAAGCAATCTTCCACCGGTCATCCCAGTGCATCATTCATTAAACATAATGCCCTACAGGAAAATCAAGGCTTTGTATTTTCCATACCCCCTCCCGCATCAGCCCTGACGTCAGTAGTTTGGAACCACGGAAGTTAAATTCAGGCCAGTGCAGTCTAATAGGCAAGGGATAGCAAATGCTAAGGAGTCAAGGTAACGAGAAAATACCTGCCATATGGAGCTGTCATAAACACGAATTTACATCTCTCCCCATGAAATAAATAAATAACAGCCTGCAAAACATTACTCTCCCTGCAAAGTCCCATTCCTGCCGCTGCCACCAAAAATTTGGGCCTCCCCACTTTCTGCGTGGTCGGTGGCTCCTGCCGAAACCCCCGGGGTGACGCGCCTGGGTGCGGGCAGACATCCGCAAGCGCTGCCTGCTCAGGCGCGAGGGCTGGAGTGCAGGGATCTGCTCTGCTGCATCTGCTCGCTCCAGCCCTCGCTCTGACGGAAAGTTTTCCTCCTGGCTCTGACAGCACCGCAGCCACTTGGGGAAGCACATGACTTCCTTGGGAGACGGTGTTTCTTATTTGTGTTGCAGGCCTCCAGCAGGCACGGCACCGAGGCAATATTTATATCAGTTTTTGTAACATCATTGCAGCAGCTGCAATTTTGGGAACTGAAGTGCTGGCTGGAAGTGGGAGAGAGAGGCACAAAGCACAACATGCCACACAGAAATGTGGATGCAAGGGAAAAAAAAAAAAAAAGAAAAAAATAAAAGAAAAGAAAATTGGCAACCAGCCTCCTCCCCCAGAAAGCTCATTGTGTTCCCCAGTGCCAGAGGTGCTGTTTGCCCTCCAGATGGTTACCACAGGGCCCATCTGTGTAAAAGTGAGTCAATGGCAATTGCAGCTCAGGATGTGTGTGATGGGATCAGATCTGTCCCCTCAAGGTGCTTGCATTCCTGGTGGAGCAAGACAGGGGAAGGGGAGTCCTCCAGCCAGGTGGCTTCCTGTGCTACAAGCAAATAGTGTTCAGCAGTCTTCTCATACCCTTCAGCTGTGAGAAAGCATAGTGCAACACTTGTGTGCAGGTAACCAGGCTGCCCCCAAAACTGCTGCAGCCCCATGCTGTGACTTGGCAATCAGCCCTAGCAAGTTCCTTATCCCACCTACAATGCCGTGCTGGCACAGTCATGCTGCTCCCAGATGCCCAGCTCGGATCTCTGACCCATACTCTGCATGTGTCCTGACCTATGTGGAACTATCTCACTGTGGCTGGAAATCCCCAGGGAGGTGGAATAAGGGTCCTGCCTTCCAGATTATTTACTCGCTGCTTCTCATGACAGTTATGTGACCCATTTCCCTCCTTTTCTGCCCCCGGCTTGATTTCAGTGGTGTTTATCCAGTGGAGGTTTGAGGATTCTCTGGTGCTATGGGGATGGAAGTCACGGCTGCCTGAAAGACAGCAGGGTTGACTTCTCTGTGTCTCCTTGTTCCTTCATCTGCCCTGCAGATGTAGAAGCAAGTAAATACCCTTGGTGGGTGCCATGTGTGCAAGAGGGGCTCTCCACTGCCCATGCATGTTCTCAGTAAGTGAGTTTCTACCTCTGCAGCCAAAGAGCAGCAGCTGGCAGAACATAAGCCTGAATTCTTCCCTGTCCTGTTCATTTTCCTCTATGTAACTCCACTGGCCTGTGGAGTTATGTCTGACAGAGGAGATGCCACACAGTCTCCAGTTACCTTAGAGCTTGATGAAACTGAAGTTTATATGAAGCTAAAAAGCTCCCACAAGGTGCAGCCTCAGACCTGTCAGGTGATGCACATTTCATCATGGGCAAGAGCTGAAGGTCATTTGACCCAAATATAGCTGTGTGGTGCAAAATACCTTCATTGTCCTGGATAGCACAAGGTCTCTAGAAAAAGCTGGGCTGCCAATGAGCTCTCCAGTTCATGTGTCCTGCAGTCCTCTGAAAGGTCTGCTGTGAGGACCAAGTAGGGAGACCATCACTGTGTCTGCCTGGGAGGACTTCTGAAAACCAGCACCTGAAGCTGCATCACAGGCTCCCTGAGGCAGAGACACCACCAAAGACTGGCAACACGGTAAGCACGGCTTCTTGGGCTATGTGCCTCAGAAAATCCCCTCCCGTCTCCCATTTCATATGTTTTTGTACCATAAGCACTCCTACTTGTCTCAAAAAGGACTGAAAATGCAATGGCCAAGTTGTTTCCCTACCACAAACACCCTGAAATGCTCTTGATGAGCAGAGTTAGGTAAGAAAGGCAGGGAGAAAAGAGAAGAGGAAAAGACATGCCAGCTGTGGTGGCATATCCTCCGAGGTGGCACTGGAGGGCTTGGCAACCCTTTCAGCATTGTGCTATTGCAACAGGAAGGAGGAGGATATACAGAGGTTACTTAAAAGCCCCAAACATTTTCCCTGCTTCTATTGCACTGCAGAAATTCTGCAAGGGAGAAGAAAAGAAAAAGACTATCTGAAAAGAAGGTACCCTTGATAACTAAAGAAGCTTCATTTTAGAACTTACTTCTATTAAATAATTGCTACATTTTAAATAGCTGTTTTTAGGGGATTTGCAAAGAAGTTTTCTTCTCAGTCATTAATATTTTCTTAGAAGGGTTGCATGGCTTTTTTCACTGCTACATGCTTACACTGAAATAGATGTGAAAGCAGTTTTGAGTAGCTCAAGAAGAAGTCTCTCATCGGCCTACATCTAAGATTTCCCTTAAGGATGTTAGTGTGAGAGAAATAAGTGGATAAGTGCTTTTTTCTTTTCTTTTTTTTTCCCCTTTACCCCCCTTTCTTTTCCCCCCTCCCCCTCTTTTTCTCGAAAGTGGATTGTCTGGGTGCAGGAGTTAGTCCTGTAGATATTTGGGTGTTTGTGTGCATGAGGATAAAAATACAATTCTCCACTTATCATCCACAGACTCTTGTAGGCTGTAATATTTGGCTTGATTGCAGTATGACTTATAATGTCATTTTTATTAGGGAGAGGTAGTATGCGATGCACTTTCTGAAAATATAATTTGCTATTTTGGATTCAATAATGCTTTTATGGAGGATGAGAGAGTGAAAGATTTTCTAGTTCTTTTACCTGAAACTTCCTAATGTTTTTAGTGCCCTGCTTCTCCAAGGCAAATACTTCTGTGTTAGACTTCCCTCTCCTTCTCCCGCCCCCTCCTTCTTCTCTTATTCATGTGTTTTGATGAACACAAAATGCCTTCCAATCCTTAGAGAGCTGTACTTATCATTAGACTGATGTTTTCTGCCTCTTAGGTTTTATTTATGTAAGTCTAAAAATGTGTAGCTCACTGGCACCCCACATTGCTTTTGGCTTCTCCCATCTTGCACGTTCCATGTGAGCTCATGTTTGCTTTTTCCTTGTGCTCTTTCTTTCATGCTATTACAATTTTTTTAGCACAGGATGTCTGAAACAACAAGCACCAACGTGGAGAATAAACATCTTTTGAATGGGAGAAGAGCCATCCCACTCAACTACTCCAATGATGAAGAAAATGAGGTTCCTGAGATGGAAGCTTTTGGATTGATACCTCGAGGATTTAATCCTAGAGGTACAGTGTACAATTAAGCCATAAGTCTATTTTTGCATCTTCCATACTCTTAGCACAGGTCTGTGAGCTAAATCCAAACTGCTTTTTCCTTACATCTTTCCAGTTCAGACAGCTTTTCTTGCTGTTCATGGGAAAACTTACTGAAACCACCTGTGTGTATAAAAGTGTTAGCATGGGTTATGGGTATGGAAAGTGAGGAGTAAAGAAGCTGAGTGACCAGTTATCATCTTGAACTGTTAAAACTTGTTGACTGATTAAAAAAAGGCAAGAATGGGTTTTTCCAGTTTGATCACAATGACAGAGTCACTTTAAGAATCTACTGGCTTCAGGCATGGCTGTGGCAACATTGGAGTGAAGGGACAGAAGGAGTCTGTTCTCTTAATGGCTGTCTCATTTATATGGCCCTAATCTGCCTGTGAAACTGCTGCAAAATGTTATCTGGCAGGGAAAACTTTTGCTATATATGTTCAGCTCACTCACAAAAAATAACATGAGATGAAAGGGAATACCCATATGATTATTTATTCTCCTGTGAAAAATGTTTCAATCATTTGGCTGGGAAAACAAAACAATATCATGGTAGAGAAAAGAAAAATCAAAGTATGTTCCCAGTGTTAGCTCTTTGGAGACAACCAGAAATAAAAAATATGTAAGATCTGGTTTATAAGAAAACAGGATTAAATTCTGAATGACTCAATAATGAAATTATGTTAAATTTTTTGCCTATTTGAATTGAACAAGTAGAACTTGTTG